CATGAAACGTAACAGCGTTGTTGTTTTTGTTTTTAAAAATAGAAATGAAAATATATAAGCCTATTTAAAAAAAATTATTTTTTAATAATATAGAAAATGTCGAGAAGTGCCTTACGTGCAATAGTCATTTAAATGTTCTGGAAATCTCACTCTTCTTCCAGAACGTGTCGTTTTAAGTTTATTTTCGGATACTGTCGAAGTATCATCGTGTGTGTTGGTTGTCGGATGAGGTATTATAAGTGTCGGAGTCGTGTCGTTCAATTGTACCGAAGGAAAATCCACGTAGATAGGATTTCCTTCTAAATACGCTGCTTTGAGGCGATCGATGCTGATGCTATCGTTGGTTCCGTTCTTATCGATTATATAGTACTTCGGTTCGCGTTGAAGAACTTTGAAAGGTCCTTCGTATGCTGATTCGAAAGGTCGTCGATGCGAGTCTCGACGAACGAAAACGTGTGTACTATATCGTAACTCAGGTTGAATGAAAACATCAGTTGATTGAGGTCGAGTGGAAGCAGGTTTAACTGAACGCATTGCGTTTGTAAGCCTGTTCGTGTAAGAGGTTAGATCCATGCTCAATGAAGAGGATGAAGGATCCACGAATTCTCCTGGAAGTCGAAGTGTCGTTCCATAAACGAGTTGAGCCGCAGTGTATCCAATGTCAGCTTTCACTGCATTGCGGATACCTAGTAAGACGAGTGGAAGAGCGTCGGTCCACTGTGAAACGTTTGCAGCTGATAGTGAAGCTTTTAGTTGTCGGTGAAAGCGTTCTACCAACCCGTTTGCTTGTGGGTGGTAGGCGGTCGTTCGGAAGCGAGTGCTTCCTAATAGTGTGGTCAGACGACGGAAAAGTTCAGACTCAAACTGACGTCCGCGGTCTGTAGTGATGGTTGAAGGGCAACCGAAGTTTGCTACCCATCGTTCGACGAAGGTTCGGGCCACTGTTTCAGCAGTGATGTCCTTGATAGGTACTGCTTCTGGTCATCGAGTGAAACGATCTACACAGGTCAAGAGGTAAGAGTATCCATTTGAATCTGGTAAAGGTCCTACCAAATCCAGATGAACATGGTCGAAACGAGCATCGGGAGTTTTAAATGAGCCTAAGGGACATTTATTGTGTCTGATAACCTTAGATTTCTGGCAGCTTACACAGGAGCGTGCCCACTCCCTCACGTCTTTATTCATGCCAGGCCAGCAAAAGCGTTCTGCTATGAGCTTGATGGTTGCACGAACACCTGGATGAGAAAGTTTGTGCAATGTGTTGAAGACATTGCGTCGATAATGTTTCGGGACGATTGGGCGATCCCTTCCTGTAGATGTGTCACAAAGTAAGGTTTCCTTACCTGTTCCCATCTGTTTGATGCGTAGTTTAAGGGTTGTGGACGATAACTCTTGCTGAAGATCAGTGTCTTCTTTTTGAAGCTGGGCGAGTTTAAGAAGGTCGATTCCTTGGAAACTGTTCAAGGAATTTATTCGAGACAAGGCGTCTGCAACTACATTGTTTGCTCCAGAAATATGTTGAATATCTGAAGTAAACTGCGAAATGTAGTCCAGTTGTCGAGACTCACGGGGAGAGTACTTGTCAGAAGGAGAGCTTAACGAGAAAGTGAGCGGTTTATGGTCAGTGAATAGAGTGAATTCGCGGCCTTCGATATAGTGTTGAAAATGCCGTACAGCACAATACATATCTAGGAGTTCCCTACCGAATGTGCTGTATCTCGATTCAGTGTCTAGCAACCGTCTAGAGAAAAATGCCAGGGGTTGCCAGGAGTTATTAACCCATTGTTGTAAGACTCCTCCGATTGCCGAGTCGGATGCGTCTACTGCGATACTAATGGGTGCTGCAGTGTCCTGATGTGCGAGCATTGTTGCTTTAGCGATCAGTTCCTTAACTGTGGAGAATGCTTTTCGTGCGGTGTCGTCCAAATTAATGGATTTCGCATTTCCACGAAGTTGGTCAGTAAGAGGTTTCATAAGTACTGCGCATTTCGGTATGAATCGTCTATAGAAACTTACCAAGCCGTTAAACGTGCGTAATTGCTTGACGTTGGTCGGTTCTGGGTAATCCAGAATGGCCGCCACTTTGGTCCTAAGCGGTCGAATGCCTTGAGCATCGATAGTGTGTCCTAGGAAATCTAACGAATCGGTTCCGAATTGGCATTTCTGAACGTTTACAGTAATGCCATGTTTTTGTAATCGTTCGAAAACAAGATCCAGATGCTTGAGATGTGATTCTCTGTCCGGACTTGCGATTAAGCAGTCATCAACATACGCATGTACGAAGTTGAGACCTCGAAAGACGTCGTCTATGAATCTTTGGAATGTTTGCGCAGCGTTTCTTAAACCGAACGGCATTCGCAAAAATTCATAGAGTCCGAAAGGAGTTATGATAGCTGTTTTTGGTATGTCGTTTGTAGCCATAGGGATTTGGTTATACGCTTTAACCAAGTCGATTTTCGAAAAGACAGTTGTACCTTTCAAGGTAGCTGTCAAATCGTGAATGTGAGGCAACGGGTAACGATCGGGAATGGTTTTTGCATTCAATCGCCGATAGTCACCAGTTGGACGCCAATCGTTGCTGTCCTTTTTAGGGACCGTGTGCACCGGAGATGCATAAGGGCTGTTTGACGGTCGTATGATTCCTAAGTCTATCATATGATCGAATTCGTTTTTCGCTAACCTCAGCTTTTCCGGAGCTAGTCGTCGTGCTTTAGAGAATACAGGTGGTCCTGTAGTCGTGATGTGATGTGTAACATTGCTGGTTACACACGGTAGTTTCGTTTGAGCTTGTTGTATCCCAGGGTACTTGTCGAGTAGTGGTTGATAGAGTGGGTCTATCATATGCTTAACTGTGACTGGGGATAATCTACAACCAGAAAAAGAAGTTACGCAAACGGATAATTTAGTGTTTCCATCTACTAGCCTCCGTTTGCGCGTGTCGATGATTAGATTATGATGTTGTAGAAGATCCATACCAATGATTGGCATAGAAACATCTGCAACAACGAAAATCCAATGAATGGGTTTGCGTAAACCCACGTTAAGGTAGACGTACCTTTTGCCATACGTGGCGATCGGTTTTCCATTTGCCGCCTGTAAGTTTAGAGTTGATTCGTGGAGCCGGTCGTTATGATTTGCTGGGAGAACGCTAACTTCTGCGCCAGTGTCGACGAGGTAGCGAACTCTCGTTGTCACATCTGTGACGTACAACAGACGGCTATGTTCGCCGGCTACGGTTGCCGTTAACGCGTGCCGGCTTGGAAGTTTCCCGAATTGTTTTTCGAGTCAGTCGTTTTCGTGTTGGGAAAATTGCAGGGTTTTCTGCAATTTCTGGAAGATTTCCCATACTGGTTATGATACCAGCACCAGTCAGGGTTATCCGTCTCTCGTGGTCTAGAGACAGATCGTTTACGCGAAATGCTTCTACGTGGACTGCGTGAGCGACTACGGTCGTTACGAAGATTAAGATAACGCGTGAGTGTATGACATAACTCGGTTATGTCATTCTGAGTCGCGTGAGGCTTTTCTTTGACGGAAAATACCTCTGAAGTAGACGATTTCGTTATTTCTAAAATACGATCGGCAGATGCAGCTAGCTCGTCTAAGGCGTTGTTCTGAAACGAGACCAGAACCGCTTGCACCTGTTGAGGAAGTTTAGACAAGAAAAGTTGTTTAAATAGACCTTCGTCGAAAGTCCTTAGGCCTATCACTTCTCTCATTCTTTGCAACATGTCAGTCGCAGAACCGTGTTGCAGGTCGATGTTATTGAAGAGTTGATCTAACCTTTGTCGATCGGTTAGGTCTCCTCGTTTAAGAATCGAACGTTTTAGGATTTCGTAAGGTTCAGAAACATCACTAGTAAACATACTAGGTGTTACGTACCTGTTGAATTCGCGCGGTAGTGCCTTGACTACTGCGAGGAATTGTGCACGTGTGTCGATCACGCCGTGCTCGGAGAAATCGGATTCTGCGTAGCAGAACCAGGCTTCGATATTGTCGGGCCAGAAAGGCATTAGTTGAAACGAAGGCGGGGACAAAGTCTTAAGCTTGAGTACTTCGGGTGTCTGTTCAGCCATGATGAAAATATGAAGTACGATAATGAACGAGGGAAAAAATATATATATATCCCAGGAAAAACACGAAAAAAAAATCACAATGTTTAAAAAAAAGGTAATAATATATAAAAATCCCAAAAAGGAACAGACTCACAGTTGCAGTTAGGTGTACCAGATCACGACGGTCTCACCAATGAGGATGATACAGGTATTCAGTGTTTGACAACGCTTCTACCAATAACACCTTCTAATATGCTTTGTTCCCACCGAGAGAAATCAAAAGACAGAGTCGAGGAGATCGGAAGAGTGTATTTGGCGATAACCAATATATCGGGAATCTCTGATCTAGTCTGGCTAGTGATTGCGATTGTTGTTGAGCACAGCGTGACAGCACGTGATCTGGTGCGGATGCATGACCGAGCGCCTTCAGCTAGATGAGTCCACTAAAACACATGGTCAGCATCCAATGTCGAAAACCTATTGAGCTATTTAGTTTGGGGATTTATTTACCGCTACAAACTACTGATCTAGCCAGTTTAGAAACTGGCTAGCGGTTGCAGGAGAAGTTGAGCACCACGTTCTCACTCGTGGTCTGGTGCAAATGCACGACCGAGCGCCTTCATCTAATCGAGTCTATTAAAACTAATATAGTGAACATCAAATGTCTGGGACTTACAAAACTGTTTATTTCGCATGTTTATTTACCGTTCCTCCTCCTTTACGCTTCTGGATTCGGTCGGCTCTTAGTAATGTGAAATTTTCGCTGACGTTGGCTTGTATGCTATAGTTTTTAGATCTCTTATGCTTACAAATAAACACCGATAACTTGTGTTACGTAAAGTTATCTTGAATTAACCGCTTTTTGTAAAAACTTACGGGTTGTCGAGGTGATACACCAATCGCTTTGCGACGGTTTGACCTTTAAGGGCTCAGTAACCTTCAACAATGGATGAAGTTATTGGATCGTTGCCAAAGTCATCTGATCGTGAGTCTAGGCTAAAAGCCATTAAGTCGGCTATCGGGATTATACCAGATTTCCCAAAACAGGGCATTATTTTCTGGTACTTTTCCATACAATGTGTGCTTAAACTAATAAAGGGACTTTTTTGGCGTTTTTAGAGACCCTGTTTTAACTCAATACCTATTAGATGAATTATATTATGTGGCTACATCCGAGATAGAGCGTAAATTTACAGTAAGCTGCGTTGCACTTGATCTATTGTATGTTAGAAAATTAACGTTATTGTGGGTCTCGAGTCACGTGGTTTTCTACTTGGACCAGCACTTGCCCTTCGTCTGAACTGCTCTTTCGTCCCTATTCGAAAAGCAGGAAAACTTCCAGGTCCTTGTTTCTCTTATAACTACGAATTGGAATATGGGAATGTAAGTTCGTGTCGACGATTTATAACTTATAAAGATTAATACTTCTGAAACCGAAACCGCATAGGTGAATTAGTTTCAGTTTCAGTTTGGGAAGGACAGGAGGCTTGATGGCCTGTGTTAGTCCTGGCAATGGTGACATCTCAGTTGGTCCAACTTTTGAAAGAGTCGACGGATGGAGCCTCAACCACGTGCTGAGGTAATGAATTCCACTCGTTGATGATTCGATGGGAAAGTCGATAGTCAGCTGACAAGTGATTTGTTTTGGGCTTGTGAACTTTTTTGGAATGTCCTCGTAAATTCTCTGTTTTGGGAGACAAGAAAAATGAGGGCACATCAGGTGCAAATTTATCACTAAGCAGTTTGAAAACCGTAATCAAGTCGCCTCTAGTTCTGCGATATGACAACGGGAAAAGGTTTAGCTTGGCCAGTCGAGCATCGTACGGAAGCTTCGCTACTCCGGGAATCAGTTTAATTGCTTTTCTCTGAACCTTTTCCAGAAGCTCACTGTCTTTTTTAAAGCAGGGGCTGGCCGCTTGTATGCAGTACTGAAGTTTAGGACCTACGAACACTGTATACAAAGTCAAAAACGTCTTAGCGTCGACATGACTAAAAGCCCTACGTATTGATCATAAGGTTCTAAAACCTTTGGCGGCTATTGCACGGCAGTCTGCAGTAATCTTTAGGTCTTGGCTAACGATGACTCCTAAGTCATTATGTCTGGACGACAGGTAGCTCAGTGTTATTCGTCGTGTATGTATCTGTACCTTGATGACCGATATGCATCACGACACACTTGGAAGTATTTATCGGCAACTAACATGTTTGAGACCATTCAGATAACTTCTTCAGGTCATTATGGAGTTCTGAGCTATCACCCTTACATCGTATCGTTCTCCATATCTTGACATCGTTAGCATATAGCAAGACCGATGATGATAGGAGACGAGGAAGATCATTTACATACAAGAGGAATGGGACTGGCCTCAAAACTGTACCCTGGAGCACTCCACTAAGTACAGTTTCCCAGCTAGATAACTTTGAGTTCACCCGTACTCTTTGTTGACGCTCAACTAAGAAGTCTTTTATCCACATCAATAGATTGCCTCCAATCCTGACATTTCTTAACTTATATAACAGCCGGTTGTGCGGAACTTTGTCAAAAGCTTCGCTGAAATCAATGAAGGCTACGTCTTCACGTAACTTTTGGTCCTTAAGAGCACATCAGCTTTCACGAGCCACTAATAAGTTAGTGAGACAAGAGTAACCTATTCTGAAAACGTGCTGCTTCTCCGGAAGGATCCGGTTTTTATCGAGAAATCTAAACAGCTCCTTCCGAATAATCTTTTCTAAGATTTTAACAACCACACTAGTTTGGCTAGCCGGTCGGTAATTCTCAGGTTTGTGTTTCGTACCTGTTTTTAAGAAAGGCGTTTTTCCAGTCTTTGGATAAACGACCCTGCGTTACGGATAGATTAAAGCATAAACTTAAAGGGTTCGCAATGAAGTTAGATAATTCCTTCAGTAGCTTAGGATGTAATTCATCGGGCCTCGTGGATTTAGCTATGTCAAGCTTATTTAGTTGACCAAAGACATCGAGTTCTTTAATAGTCACTCTATCCAGTGTATGTATGGGGGGATCTGTATGCACTGACGGGAAGGGTGCTTCTATGGTATATACATTGCTAAAGTAGTTCGTGAACACTTGAGCCTTACCAAAGCCGTCCTCCACTAATGATGCGGCAGTGCTGTCTCCCCATATAGCAGGAATATTTCCTCTTCTCTTCGTCCTTTGGTTTATATAGGAATACAAACGTTTAGGACATTCTATGGATTCCTTAACAATCTTTTCTTCGTACAACTTTCTAGACTTACGGAGGGTCGAGGCACAGGTATTCCGGACTTTTCTATACTGAGATTTAGTTTCATCAGTCCCCAGTAACCCAAATCTATCCCACATTTTTCTTCTCTTACGGAGAAGGATGCGGACCTCCCTACTGAACCATGGTGGGGAGTTTCTCGACCCCCTTACTATAGTCCAAGGGATGTAGTAACTTTTAAGTATGAATTTCGAAATGCGTCCCAGGCCGTTTCAATCGAGGACTCTAGGTCTATTGTGCATGATATCTGGTATGTTTGCTTCTCAGACGTTAGGTCTGGATTGGACTGATGCGTGCTCGTGACTGAATTATATGGAAGTCGAAAGTTAGAGCTGCGTGATCACTTCTACTTACGGGTGGCATATAATGGAGGTTCGCAACGTCATCCTCATAGTGAGTCAGTATAAGATCTAGTAAGGATGATTCAGTGTCCGGGTCGTACCTTGTTGCTTCTTACACATGTTGCACTAGGGCACATGTGATAGCCGCACCAACTAGTTTTTGCTCGAAGGAATTTTCTGACGATTCAGTCCGCAGATTTACCCAGTCTACCATTGGTGCATTAAAGTCCCCTAGGACTAGACATCGACCACTTTGTGACGAAGTATTGAAACTGCTTAGCAGGATCACATTTACCTCACAGCTTGGACTGCGATAGACCAAACCAATCAGCAGCTCTTGTCCCTTGCATTTCAAGCGGCAACTAACTAATTCACACGTCCCACTGTCATGCGATACACTGTTGATAATGGCAAATGTAATAGCATTCCCAATGAATAGAGCTGCTCCCCCTCCTTTACGCTTTTGTATTCTGTCGGCTCTTACTAACGTAGAACCCTCGAAATCAAGTTCCATACTATCTATAGCCTGTGTCAGCCAGGTTTCTGTGACTGCGATTATGTCTGGCTTTGTAGAGTCAATCTGTACACCTAGTTCCGATCGCTTATTAAGTAAGCTTCGGGTATTAGTGTAACAGATCCGAAGCCTTTTAAAGTGGCTTCGTGCTTCATCCAGAGTGGCTTCGGCATCATTCTCTGTCGAAGCCTTACAACCCGAAAATTTACAATTTTCAGGTCATTTTCGCCAGCGTCTAACCTAAGTTGTAGTTCTTTTTCGGCTTCCCGTCTTTTTACACGGTCTGCCAATGGCAAGTCCTTACGGATAAAAACTCCTGAACCCTTTAATTTATGTCCATTCTGTAAAATTAGGTCGCGTTCGTTAGATGATTTGAATACTACTTTAAGCAGTCTGGATTGATTTGGTTTAAAGTTCGCTAGACTCCCTAGTCTATACACCTTTAGCAAGGTGACCCCGGTCATATTTTGAGGCATGAGTTGATTAAGCAGCTGCCTAATCAGTACAATGTCATGCTCAAAACGAGCTTTGGGTTCAGAGCTCTCGCTGTCCTTGATTCTATGGAAAATAGCTGATCTGTCGCCGTGATCAGCTTTCGATTTTTCGACTACTTTTACGGGGGCAGGATCCTGTTTTATATCGCTACGTTATTTCTTCCTTACAACCTGTACCCATTCGTCAACAGTACTAGGAGAGGCAACAACAGTTGCGTCAAAACTACTGTTGGATTCCAGAGGGTTGTCGACGACTTGGGAGGTCAGGCCATGTTTCCTGCTAGAAACCGATTGAGCCTTGCGATTGCGGCTTCTAAGCGTTTCCTTCTGGATGCCATTTGGAAGACGAGGAACAGAAGAACCTTCTTTTCTTGAGTTTTCGTTTAAGAGAGACCTCTTTGGAAACTGTTTTTCCTACTTTGATCAGTGTGAGTCGCCTATTTTCTAACTCACCTGAGTTTGCTTCATATCAATTTGCGTATCGACAGAACGAGTGCTGTTTGATGTGTCCTGACTACGCTTGCTAAAACACTTTTTCGCAGCATCTACCAGTGAGATGGTCTCGGTTAACAAGCTGTTTGCATCCGAGCAGCACTGTTGACAAAGCCAAACACAACTCTTTTTACTGAACATTTTGAAAGCCGCAGGCCTTAAATTCGTGCAAACTTCGTGGTACTCATCGCACTGCATGCCGCTTTCAACGGAATAACGACAACCCGGACGTTGGTAACTGCTTTTTTGCACTGTCCGGTCATTAGAAAGGGGTCCTTTTCAAAAAAGAGCGAGATGCAATAATGCTCAAAGACAAAAAAATGATCTATGGCCAAAAAAGTGGAGAACTGTAGATTGTTAGGACCAAAAGTGCTAACAGATACAGTGGAAAATGAGATAGTCAAGAGTATCGACGATAAACTAATTGAGAAACAGTAAACGATACTCTAGTCGAATACTTTAATTGAAATAAATTCAATTAAGGTGAAAACAATAGTCTTGATACGTAATAAACGATCAAAACAATAAAATTTACTCAGCAAGGAAAAATACCACTGTCCTTTTTAATTAGTTGAGTATATGTACTCAAGTTACTTTTAAGCGATTTGTACTTACTTTTAGTAGTCGAACTAATGAGCCAGCCATAGTTGCTTGGCTCCGTGTTTAGTTTCGTAACAATAGTAAGTCTGGTGATCCAAGATCAATGTCGAGGATCTAATCATTATTACTGTATAAGTGTTGGAATCACCAAAATTTACCGTCACTGTTGTTCAGTTGTCTTCCGTAAACAACGGATCTTGAGTTCTTCAGTATATGTACAGTATATTTCAAAATGAACACACTAAGTGCCCAAGTCTGTCCGAAGTATAAACAGTTATTCTCTGTTCACTATCCTAAATATGCATATTTATGATCATGATCTCAGTTGTGATAATTAAAATCAAACCATTTATCTTTACATGAGTAGCAATGTTAATGAATGCTTATACTGGTATTGAACACAACCTTAAAGCATATACTGTATTTTCTCAATCTACTCGCATCTACAGAGTGTTGTAGAAATTCAAAAGGATGTTCTCAAGCCTGATGATAATGTAGTCCTTTTTGATGATGTTTTGGCCACTGGTGGGAGTCTTGAAGCTGGTATAAAATTGGTAAACTTATCTGGAGCTAGAATACTATCCAGTTTGTTGTTTATGGAACTGAAAGGTTTGGGTGCACGTAAAAGGATAGAAGATCTTGGCGTACCTGTTCACACAGTCTTTCAAGCTTGAGCACTACTTCTGTAAAAAATATTCTCTTTTAATTCTTGCCTTTCTATTATTTAATGTTGTTTATTTTTCCAACTGACCTCAAGTACTGATAATGCATTGCATACGAGTATTGTAAATGATTTTAAAGTTATACTATCTGATATTGTCACAGCTAACCGGTGTTCTTATTATCTAGTTTCATTAGAGCGTAGTTTCGGTGTGATCTGGTGCCTTGACCCATTGTTGTGAGTACAGCACTGAGTATAAGTTATTATCTTCGCAAAGTGCTTATGGATGTTCTGTTTCGAGACATTAATTCTCACTATATACATGTTTATTATATACCAGACATGTTTGCTTCTCGTTTAAGTAGCTTCACAAGTCTCCAGTATGAGGGTTGGCTGGTGTTAACAGGGGCTGTCATTGCATCAGATTAACTATAAGGGTTTGTTTGGTCGTGAAGATAGGTACAAATGTTTGGTGTTCTAGCGTGGTTATGTCGTATATCCAAAGTGAATACTAGTTTTTAAATGTTATTTTGGAATGTGGTATCATCGCCAGAGTGAAATTGCAGAGGAGGAAATTAAGATAGTCATTGTGTTATGATTAAGGATTTAGTGATAGACGAACAAGGCTTCTGGTTACTAGAACAGAACGCTGATCGACAAATGATGTGCAATGACACGATGTGGCAGCGTGATGTCTTCTCATGAGACCAGATTGTTGACGTAACTGCCGAATGAACAGATATGAGAAGACAAATTAACTGTACAGCAGAATAGGTTTCTCACTGAGTAGTAGTTTAATACATTTCACACATAAGTAATATGACTAGACTTCATGAAATTTTGGACAGTGCCAATTTCGTAGGTAGCTCACTCCGGTGAGTTCGGACTTAATAGCTCTGTCTAGTTTTCGTCTAACTTGTCATTGTCATGATAGGTCCTCTGAATTGGTAGGACTTCAGAATTAGTCAATCGATACGCAACATCACTATTGATAGCATTAATATTTCGACTCGTTAGTTATTGATCGTTTTAAGGTTCACCTTGGTCTGTTGATGTGTTAAGTTGGGCTGTCGAACATATGTAACAACCTGTACTTTGGTTATAATCCGCTTTCTGTAACAAAGTAGAATGGTACACATCAAACATTATTGTCTAATACTTCGTATTTCTTGTTGTTTTCTGATAGTCCAACGTATAACCAATCTAATTTACACTGTAGTGTTCGATCAGGAAACGTTAGAAAAACGAATCTATATTTTAACGAAATCCGTTTGAAATTATCTCAAGTAGCATGACGAAGTAATTGGCACGTATAACAAGACTGGTGGTCAGTTAATTTTCCATACTAACTAAGTATAATCTCACTTAATTTTCACCTCAGTCAATTGCAACACATATTTTGAAAAATTGTCTAATCTACGAGATGCGAATGCATTTTCGTACATCAATTTCGGAATCACGTTCACTTTGTCGCATATAGTGAATTGAAAATATATTTGTCAAAATATAGGCAAAAGAGAAGAGCATCAGTGGTGTAGATACGTACGTATCAGAGTTATCGTTGGCATGATCTCATTCTATTTGCCTATTAATATGAATTCTTCGTCAAACGCATAACAACTGTGTAGTTTGATATTTTGTGTTTGTACATCCCCCTTAGTTGTAAAATTTGAATTATTATTCATTCTAATAACTAGTGCAACAAAACAGGTGACGGTCAATTGAATCATTCTGACTTCTTCTCGATAACTCTGGTAAGATCTGATAACAAACTGTATGAGAGTATCATAGTATTAAATGTAATCGCTTTGGTTTATACATGGTTATGTGTCTTGTTTGTGATTGTTATCCACACATATGTTGAGATGATGTCATGTGTGTAGTTCCGATATTGTTAATTAGAATCATCAACACAGTGTCTTCAGCTAATAGAGATCTTTATTCTATTTATCAACTATGACACACTGGACGTGAGAATAATGATAAGTAGTAGGACATCAGGAATGGGATCGATATATATTCATTAGTTGGTTGGTCAGATAATATCCTGTAATGAGCGAACTTCGAAATTTTTGATTAAAGTATCTCGTTTGATGACTAGGTTTAATGTAACGAAGTAGTGATGTGGGAAATTCTACGCTACACTTACCATTATTGACGAAATATCTGTGATGAACTTCGTGCATAGTTTAAAATGTATCCAAACCCCTAACAACTGTATATTTTCAGCTTTCATTTGTGTGCCTCAGGATCGATCGTGACTAAATTCGTTAAAAACATGGTCATAGTTGTGATTATGAAATCAATTCATGGTACTCGAACTATAAAACTAACGAGTAATTTATTGTAAGTATACTCTTCGTTTAAGGTAAATTAATATTAATGTCAAAAGTAATTATTCTACACAGAGCTTTTTGTAGGGGTAATCCTGATGTAAAGTATTTTGTAAATAGATTATACTATTCAACAAACTGTTTTCTAGTTTCAAACCGTGAAACCTAATGGTTTGAATAGTTGGCGATTCAGTTAAGTATATATGGTTGAAATATAGATATCTAGATTAGTATTATGTTTGGTGAGTATTTTAAATAGCGATTAGAAAAGGTAGAATGTGTGGGCAGCTGAACCTTCAGACATCCAGTATGAATTGGAGAGCTATAACACCTTAATTTGGTAAATTGTGCATGTTTGTTTAGTTTCTGCAGAAATCCTCGTTTAGTGGGAGTTTTCCAATGTGAAACATTAAAGAATAAATAACCTGGAGATGATTTATTTGGAGTGGATCAACGAACCAATGATATTACTTTGAGGATACACTTCGAAACATTTGCCTATAAGAGATCCGAGAAAATAATATTTAACCAAATCACTGGTCCGGGTGAACAATTTATTTATGAAGTGACTGAATGTATTTTGGCTATCAGATCTTGCTTTCAACTGATTACTTAATTAAGATAAATAGACGTACTTATAAGTAAATAAATAATATCACGAGTGTGTAATGTAAACTAATGAACTTTACGTAGATGTTATTACAAATACATTTTTTGTATTCAATTAATTATGGTTGATTAGTATGTTGGAATGCTTGTGAAGTGTTAGAAAACAGATTTATACGTGAATATATATTTGGATTATTTCAGAAAAATTAAAATATTGAGTTTTTTAATACTATGAATCTCGTATGCTTAGAAAGCATTTCTGAAAATGATTTGTCTTTTTTACAAAGGTTTTACAGACTTCATTCCACCCACATAAAGAATTAATGGAAGAATTCACATACGCAATTAAGTTTCTGTATGAACAAATTAAAATATACTTGTTTTTCTATGCAGTATCAATTTCACATCACTATGTTTAATGAAAATTACACAAAAGGAATGTCGTGATTAAACGTTTGCAGCTAATTCAACCAGAACTTCATATCAAGCTTACTTTTAATCCATTTTATTTTGCATATAAATAATCCTTGAAATAAGATGGTGGATGGAGGTAGTGAACAGGAGTTTCTGGACCTACGTTTCGTGCTAGCAAACAGAAGCCGTTAATTAGTAACGCCCTATCATGTACACATATGTTTGATTGTATTTTACTACGTAGTAGCGCCTGCTGACTGATATTTCCTGTAATAACAATGTGAAAGTCTAATATTCTTTTTATCTAAGTAGTTAAATTTAGATAAATCAATCATAAATCGATTACTATGTGTATTATATTTTTTTCTAGTTAGCGTTTTTTTAGCGAGTTAGTTTTCTACATATTTCCACATATTTAACCGACAAACGTAAATATGTGGAAGATTTAGCAAAGACGGTGGAAAAGGCTGCAAGAGAAGGAAACATGAGACAACTCTATGATATAACAAAGAAACTCTCTGGAAATCGCCTCAAAGCTGAACGACCAGTGAAAAGCAAGGAAGGCGAGGTAATCACCAACATTGAAGAGCAACGAAACAGGTGGGTAGAACACTTCAAAGAACTCTTGAATCGACCAGCCTCACTGAACCCACCCAACATCGAAGCAGCACCCACGGACCTCCCAATCAATGTTGGCCCACCAACAATTGAAGAAATCAACATGGCCATCAGACAAATCAAGAGTGGCAAAGCAGCAGGAACAGACAACATTCCAGCAGAGGCACTGAAAGCAGACGTAGCGGCAACTGCAAGGATACTCCACATTCTTTTCAATAAGATTTGGGATGAGGAACAAGTACTAACAGACTGGAAAGAAGGACTTCTGATCAAAATACCGAAGAAAGGCGATCTCAGCAACTGTGATAACTACAGGGGCATCACTCTTCCCTCAATACCGGGAAACGTCTTCAACAGAGTATTGTTAAACAGAATGAAGGACTACGTAGACGCCCAACTTCGTGACCAACAGGCAGGATTCCGTAAGGATCGATCGTGTACAGACCGAATCACAACTCTACGAATCATTGTGGAACAATCAATTGAATGGAATTCATCACTCTACATCAACTTCATTGACTACGAAAAAGCGTTTGACAGCGTGGACAGGACAACACTATGGAAGCTTCTTCGACACTACGGCGTGCCTCAGAAGATAGTCAATATCATACAGAATTCATATGATGGATTAAACTGCAAAGTCGTTCATGGAGGACAGTTGACAAAGTCGTTCGAAGTAAAGACCGGTGTTAGGCAAGGTTGCTTACTCTCACCCTTTCTCATTCTCCTGGTGATCGACTGGATCATGAAGACGTCAACATCTGAAGGGAAGCACGTGATACAATGGACATCTGGGATGCAGTTGGACGATCTGGACTTCGCAGATGATCTGGCCCTTCTATCCCAAACGCAACAACAAATGCAGGAGAAGACGAACAGTGTAGCAGCAGCCTCAGCAGCAGTAGGTCTCAATATACACAAAGGGAAGAGCAAGGTTCTCCGATACAACACAGCATGCACCAATCCAATCACAATTGACGGAAAAGATTTGGAAGATGTAAAAACCTTTACATATCTGGGCAGCGTCATTGATGAACAT